GGAAGAAAGGTGAGCAGTAGTGTAAACATTTTGATTTCTCTCATCTAATAACTTGGAGCTACAGTTGCAAGAGAAGTACTTAGAATTATAATATAAAGACCAAAAATTAGAAATTGGAAGGGAGCGATGAAAGGGGTAGGAGGAGATAAACTATTGTAGCAAATTAGTAGATATAATCTAAATAGCAGGATGCAAAGCATCTAAAAGGTATGATTTAAAGTTATAGTTGTAGCCCTGGCTGGTGTGGCTCAGTGGGTTGAATCCTGCCCTGCAAAACAAAGGGTCCCCAGTTTGATTCCCAGTCAGAGCACATGCCTGGGTTGCGAGCCAGGTCCCCAGTTGAGGGAGTGCGAGAGGCAACCACACACTGATGTTTCTCTCCCTCTCTTTCTCCTTCTCTTCTCCTCTCTCTAAAAATAAATAAATAAAATCTAAAAAAAATAAAGTTATAATTATAAACTTGAAATGAACAAAAATACAAACCTTCCTAATTATCTGGTGAAACACACAAAATATAGGAAAGCAGACAAACACCATAGTGAAAGATTTTGAAAGAGTGATAAAAAAGCATGACATAAAACGATGCAGCAGAACTAAGAGCAAGATTGTGATACTAACAGGTATGATTGTAGTAAAGTCATCCAATAAGGGGAACAGAATTTTAGAACGGATCACAAGCAAAACCCAACTGTATTTATATATGAGACTTCTGAAACAAAGTGGTACAAAAAGGCTGAAAGTAAAAGGATGGAACAAAAGTATATGTAGTCAGATGCAAACAAAAGAAACCAGGGATCCTGATCTCAATATCCAAAAAGGTTGAACTTCGAGCAGAAAGGATTAAATGAGACAAAGGGTGGCACGTTCTGAAGCTGTGTGGTACAATTCACATAAAGTTAAGAAACTTCTGAATCTGTGCTCTGGCTGGTGTGGCTCAGTGGATTCAGTGCTGACCTGGGAACTAAGAGGTCCCTGGTTCGATTCCCAGTCGGGGCATATGCCTGGGTTGCGGGCCAGGTCCCCAGTAGGGGGTGCATAAGAGGCAACCACACACTGATGTTTTCCTCCCTCTCTTTCTTCATCCCTTTCTCTCTCTCTCTAAAAATAAATAAATAAGTAAATGAAAAAAAAATCTGCAGAATTTATATTTATAAAAAAACTTTGTTCTGAATCTGCGCCAAGTAAAATGGTACCAGCATTCATAAGGCAAGAATACAGATGCTATGTGGAGATAGAGAATTGTAGCAGTAATAGGAGATTTTAACTCACCACTCAGCTCCTGCTGGAGTAAAACAACTGGCAAGGCTAGAAGGTGCCTACTTAATGAATAAGGTAGAGCTAACTGATACATACTGAACTCCAAGCCCTGAATACAGAGGATACACCTTCCGTTTAAGTGTCCATGGGACATTCATAAAACTGAGCATTCATAGAAACCTCAATAAATTCCCTGAAGTAGAAGTTACACAGCAAGGACGATGGTGAGAATACAGGATGCCTGGTACAGTGAGGGTCCTTTCCAGTCTGAAAGGCTCCAGTTCTGCATGGATGGTGGTCAACCACACTGGTGTGTACCAGGGAATATCATCCCTGAATGCAGACAGTGTTCTCTGAGCACAGTGCAATGATGTAGAAATCCATAACAAACCCAGGAAACGAAGCCTTCACCACAACAGAGCTCTTCACTGGGGTCAGAGAAGAAGTCCAAACCAAATTAAAGACTGTCTGGAAGACAGCCAACAAGAACACTATGTAAGGATCTATGAGAAGAAAGTAAGTGCTAAGAGGAACAGCTTCGCTGTAAATAAATGCACCCTTGTATTCTTTCAGCTTTCATAAATTTCTACACAAGGAGATTTATGATATGGGATCGGCTCATGCAATAATGGAGGCTGGGAAGTGCTGAGATCTGCAGTTGGCAAGCTGGAGACTCGGGGGACCTGACAATTGAAGTCCTGCCCTGAGTCTGTGTCCTAAAGTCAGGACTGAGGCCCTGGCTTCAGCGGAGAGCACACATTCTCTCGCTCACCCTTTTTGTTCTCTCCAGACCTTTGTGGATTGGATGAAGCCCACCTCGATTGGGAAGGGCAGTCTGTTTTACTCAGTCCACCAGTTCAAACGCTAGTCTCATCCAGAACCACCCCCAGACACACCCAGTGTCCATCAGGAGAATCTGGATAACTTGTGACTCAGTCAGGCAAAAGCATAAAAGTAACCATCATAGTGAAGGGACATACAATTTATGAACAAATGGGAAAAATGATTTTAGTTGGAAGACTGAACATTTAAAAGATGTCAATTCTCCTTAAATTTATTTATAAAATTAACACAATCCCAATAACAATACCAACAGGATTTTTTTTTTTTTTGGTATTTGATAAGTGGATTCTGAAATTCTCCTGGTAAAATGCACAAGAAAGAGTAGCCTGGATATTCTGAAAGAGAAGCCCTACCACGTGGTAAAACACACCATGAACTCTGGCTGCCTTGTCCGCCTCGCCCTCATCGTCCTTCATCTGAGTTGGTCCTTCAGCTTCACCACCTCCTCTCAGACCTGTGATCACACAGGCTGTCTCCCTGACACAGGGCCTTGCTTGAACGTTTTGCTGTTTGAATGATGTGCCTGATTCCTGCCTCAGTAACTTTTGTCTTTTAAATTTCTATGTGTTCATCACTTCTTAAGAGAAAACTTTGTCTCTTTCCTGAGTGACAGAGGAACTCAAGGGTTAAAAGCTTTTAGCTTCAGTCATAGTTGATAGGCCTAAGTGATACATGCATGTGGAAAGCTGTTATTCCAGGAACTGGAATGCAGGACTAGGGAAATCAACAGGCAATTCAACCTTAGTGCCCCAGGGCTTCTGGAGCTGGTGCCCAGCCTTTGTGTTTCAAGGAGGGAATGTCTGCAAAAGAGTTGTTGATCAACAGATAAAGGAGTACTTTGAAAATAGATTGCAACAACTCTTATCCAATTAACCTTTTCCCCAAACTCCTTACCTACCCTTCCTTCTCCTTATAAAAATGTTGGTTGGAGATGAGGTGTTACAGGATTTTTGAGGCTGCATAACCCACAGTTTTTTCAGATTGTCAGCATCTAAACAAAGCGCTTGTAAAGATTCAATCTGTGTCTTTACTTATTGGTCCTGGTAGTGACACGCAGCACAAACGCCAACTTTTCTGGTTTCACTTGTGTTCATTTCACTTTGTCATTGTGCCGTCATTAATGTGGTTTTCTGTTGAATGACGTTTTTCTCATTAGATTGTATACTCGGTGCCTGACCCAGAGTAGTCTTTTGTTAAATATTTACTGATAAATAATCTCCAGTCTGTGGACATTGACCTAGCTAGAAACAGTCTTCCAAACTCGGTAATCTAGTCTCTGTTCTGATGTCAGAGATAATGACTTTGCACTGTGTAGTTTACTTCACCAATGGACGTTTGAAGATGTTCATGCTTCTGGTAGTGTTCTGCATTCAACTGTAACCTCCTGAAATGAAGGGCCATATCTGAGCTGACTTCTGTGTGTCTGAATATTATGTCCAATGGACACAATCTGTTTTCATAAGGAGGTACCTAAAAAATGATGTTAGTCATTGGAATAAATAATCATAGCTATTGAAGAACTTATTTTCTTAATGAATTTTTGTAAATCATATGCCAGACATAACTATAGATGCAAACTCTCATAAGTGACCTAGGTCCTCACACATGGCAGGTTTCAGAAAATATTGCTCCGGTGGTTAGAGTTGGAGAAGTTCCCTCTGAATGCTGAGTGAGGGCGAACAGGATGTGGTTCTGTTCTCAGATACAGTTAAACGTCTTATCCTTGCTGCCCAGGAGTACATGCCTACCATTTTCTTGGATATGTTGTGATTGGCAAACATTGGCTATTTGCTAAGTGCATGAAGGTTTTGTTTGGCGTTTTGTGGACTGAGACACTCTAGCCATGACAACGCTTGTTGAAAAGTTAAGGGCTTTAGAATGACTTTTGCCTTCGTGAGTATTTCCAAACAGTAGTCATTGGCACTGGAGTGGCCGGGCAGTCCTAAACAGGTTTTACTGGCATGTCCCTGGAGGCCACTTAGATAATTCCAGGAAACCTTCCTGGATGGGACCCCTTTCATATTCCCTCAAAAATGAGTGGCTTTCTTGTATGTCTTTCTCAAAGACCACAGGCCCTGGAAACTCCGTAGAGGTGGGTGTAAATATGTGTTCAAGCTGAAGGAAGAGGTGTTATGGTGTTAAGACAGAAACAGAACCAGAGGCTGTAGGCTGCAACCCACAGGCCAAACCCACCAAATATGCTCAGCAGATGTGTTTATTTGGGTCAAACGGTGTTTCTTTTTTAGTTGCCAAGCTGCAGAAACTGGGGATTTTTGTTTCAGAGAGTCTGGATATATCACTTGTCTTGAAAAAATTGGAATAGTTTGGCCAGGCTGGGATCCACATTTCTGTACTGGCAGCCATCGGTAGAGCAGAGGACTGTCCCCTTATTGGGGAGGGGAGGTTGGGGCAAGGACTCCTCAGGCACCATGCTGTCTCTGGTCTCAGGCATTCACTTGGGCCTTCATGACCTGGAGAGAGGCTGCGAGGTTGAGAATACATGGCCTAGTGAGTGGTTTCAAAGGAGGCGGCCTTCTAGTTCCTCGCGATGTCCCATTGTGTCTCTTCCGACTGTTCCTTGTTGACTAAAGGCTCTGGTCAGAGCTTCGATAGCATTTTGAGTGGTGGGGGAAGGGAAGAAAATCTCAAAACTGACAAAGGCCAGTTCTCAGATGCCATCCTGGGGGAGTCCATCGTCCATTCCTGGCCTGTGTCCTGCCTCCCTTATCGTTTTGAGAATGAGAATGAAATGATCTGAACAAAAACACTTCACCGGGTAATGTTTTCAACACATTCGGACTACAAAGAATGTGTCTGTATTTAATCTTGCTCTGCACAGCTGCACAGAGAAGATTGTTTTCACTCTTCTTTATATTTTGTCTTTTGGGGAACCCTATCAGGAAATTTACGATCATCTTTTGGAAGCCCCAGTCACGCGGGAGCAATTAAACCACTATCGGAATGTGGCTGAAAACGCCCGAAGTGATCTTGCAGCAACTCTGGTCAAATTTGAATGTGCTCAGTCGGAGGTAAGATTGTGTATCTTCATAACTCAGACAGGGGACCTTTTAGCTTCTTGTAAAGCAGAACACAGAAGCGGTTACAGACAGAACAGCAGAACACAGATTTAGACCTTTGCACAGTTTATACTCATTTTCTTACTGTGTGCCTTTCTCCTCCTAGTTGTAGAGAATTCCTGAAAGTTTGTGCATTTGCTATGCTGCACAGAGAGGCAATGTGGGCTGGACTTTAGATTTCAGAGAAGTTCCACAGCCTTGAGAGACCTGGGAGCATCCGAACACTTTGGGTTGAAGCTGCCTGGGCTTTGGAGGACTTTCAGCATCTCTTGGAATATGTTCCTTTACTGTGGATTGCTTACGGTTTGGGGCTCATAGGATGGAATTCTTGTGATGGTTCTGATTGGCTGGGGGAAATTCTAGGAAGATGATTGGAATCCATCTGCCCCCTGGGCTGGAGAAGAGTCTCTTCATAGAGTCTCTTCAGAGACTGACAGTCTCTTCATACCCATTCTGCTCTCAGCCTGGTGGCCTGGTGGGGTCTAGGTTTATCTGTGGGTAATTATTGGTTTCACTGGGCTTCCAGGACCTCACTGAAAGAAAGACATGTTGATAATGTGTGTGGGACACAGATAGGTAGAATAAATGTATGATGCATGCTCACAGTTCCAAAGAGGTACATGTATTCACCAGGGTTTCTTACAGTGTAGACTTGATATCTTAATAGGGCACATACATCGTTTAGCAATTTTGATGCCGCAGAATTTATAAAAGTTAAAATGTTTCCTTTGTATACATCCTATAATGACTTTCCTTTTCTCCCATATTTTCCCTAGAAATCTGAATATTATTTTTCTTTATCACCCGCAATGAAGGTTCAGAAGACATGTGGGAGTGATATAGTTATAGCCTATATTTACTTTGGAAACAGCTGTGGCCATGAAATTACAAATAGCTTGTAGGTTCTTTGTTTCATTTCAGCAGCAATAGCGCAATACAGATTTAGCAAATGGGTTGCCATTGCAAAATATTTTATTGCCTTTTGCAAAATATACCACAAATGTCTCTTGAGTGAGACTAAATTACCACAAGACATTGCTCAATTGGTTTTGGGAAAAAAAATCAGAACAAAACAGAACATGAAGTCCATTATTCAGGGCATAATTTCCCATCTGGTAATACAGATACAAATATGAAAAGAAGAAAAAGTGGATTAAGTCATGAATTAAAGAGTGAAATTTTAAATTACATTTTGGGGTTCCTTGAAGGTAATTTAAACTTATGCTGTTGAAATCCTTTTTGTCTTTTTATTTCTTTTATTTCTTTTCTAGCTTCGAGAACTCCAATCCAAAATGCTTGCTAAAGAAGTTTCCTGTCAAGAATTGAAAGCTGAAATGGAGAAGTACAAAGAGAACAATGCCAGAAAATCATCTCTTCTCACGTCTTTGAGAGACAGAGTTCAGGAGCTGGAGGAAGAATCAGCAATGCTTTCCACGTCTAAAATGAGGAAAGAAATCACAGCTCACACTGCAATCAAGGAGAACCAGGAGTTAAAGAAGAAGGTTGTAGAACTAGATGAGAAATTACAGTAAGGGTGTTTCAGTATATTTCTTAGTAGAGTCCTTGTTAAAATACCAGCAAGTGATAGCAGGGTGCACCTTTAGAAGTTCTGGATTTTGCATTGACACTTGATTTGACCCCTCCAAAAATTATTGACCTCAGATAGGTATGGAGTCTTGAAATTTTTTCCCAAGTTCATTTCTAAATGTCACCAAGAAACATGGTAACATCCCAAGCATTTTCTGTGCTATTGATTAGGGCTGTAAATGCCAATACATACAATTCGGAAGATTTCTCTAGGCAGGGGTTTAGTCAGAGGGAGAGATGGGGGAGTCACGCACAGAGGGAGGCACTGATTCAGAGTTGGGCGTAAAAATACCCGAAGCCCAGATTACCCCAAACACTCCTCACTGCGTTTCATCGCCAGTTTATGTAGAAAGCTCATGAATCTGGATTTTCCACACTTGGCTCTGGCAAAATGTGATGATAGGAAATTTTGCCGAGTATAATGCACACTTTCCTGCCCAAATTTTTGAGGGAAAAATAAGGATGTGCATTATACATAGCAAAATATGGTAGTTCTTAAAATATACTTTTAAAATTCTACATGTAATAACTTTACCAATAAAATCCTTGGTATTAATTCGGCTTATTCCATCTTAGAAAAAAATCCAACACTTCCAGTTCCTGTCCCGTTTCTCCTTCCCTTTACAGCAAAACTCCTTAAAATGTTTGTACATATTCACTCTTCCAACTTTCTCTCCTCCTCTCTTGCATCTGCTCCACTGAATCCACTCACTCAGCTGACCAGTGACCACACACTGCAAATGAAATGATTTGGTCTTTGTTTCACTTGACCTACCAGCATCAGTCAAGGCTGGTGTCTCCCCAAAACACTGTCCTTTGGCTTCTAGGACCCCGCACAAGCCTGCTCCCTTCTTTCCCTCTGTAGCTGCTTCCTCATTGTTTTTTTTTTTCTTTTTTCTTTTTTCCTCTTATCTCCTTGACTCCCAAACATTGGAGTGCCCCAGGGCTCAGTCCAAGAATCTCTTTTGTTTCTATGTCCACCCCCCTGGTGATCTCAGCTAGTCTCATGACTTAAGAATGATCTAAATGCTAGTTACTCCCACATTTCTCTGTCTAGCCTGGATCTCTTCCCAGGATTCAAGACCTACGTATTTTTAAAAATATATTTTATTGGTTATGCTAGTACAGTTGTCCCATTTTCCCTCTTTTATTACCTTCCACCCTGTTCCCTGGCTACCCCCCATCTCTCCCCCACTGTAGTTCATGTCCATGGGTCATACATATAAGCTCTTTGGCTTCTATATTTCCTATACTATTCTTAACATCCCCCTGTCTGTTGTCTACCTACCATTTATGCTTCTTATTCCCTGTACCTTTTTCTCCTTTCTCCACTCCCCCACCCCCTCCCCTGTTGATAACCCTCCACATGATCTCCATTTCTGTGATTCTGTTCCTGTCTAGTTGTTTGCTTAGTTTGTTTTTGTTTTTAGGTCCAGCTGTTAGTAGCTGTGAGTTTGTTGTCATTTTATTGTTCATAGTTTTCATCTTCTTTTTCTTAGATAAGTCCCTTTGACATTTCATATAATAAGGGCTTGGTGATGATGAACTCCTTGAACTTGACCTTATCTGGGAAGCACTGTATCTGCCCTTCCATTCTAAATGATAACTTTGCTGGATAGAGCAATCTTGGATGTAGGTCCTAGCCTTTCATGACTTGGAATATTTCTTTTCAGCCCCTTCTTGCCTGCAAGGTTTCTTTTAAGAAATCAGCTGACAGTCTAATAGGAACTCCTTTGTAGGTAACTGTCTCCTTTTCTCTTGCTGATTTTAGATTCTTTCCTTATCTTTCATCTTGGCTGATATAATGATGATGGGCCTCGGTGTGTGCTTCCTTGAAGACCCACATGGTTTACAACCTACTGGATGTCTCCCTGTGGGTTTGCAGTAGGCATCTCAAACTTCACGTGTCCAACACTGAGCTCCTGGTGTTTCCACAAAACCCTCCTACATGTTTTCTCATCTCATTTAATGATAATTTTTTCATTCTGCTAGTGGATCAACTCAGAAGTCTTGGATCACCATTGGTTGTCTCTCTCTTTCACACTCCATGTCTGATCCTTCAGGAAATTCTATCATCTACCTCTGCTTTCAAAATATCTAACTTTTGACAACATCCCATGGACACCCTCTTTACCATTAACCTGATCCAAGCAACTACCATATTTTGCCTGCATGGTTACACCAGCTTCTCAAGTGGTTTTCTGGCCTCTGCCTCTGCACCAGGGAGCCCACGTGATCCTGTTAAAACACAGAGTACATTCCTTCTGTCCTCTGCTCAGAGCCCTCCAATGACTTTTGTTCTTATTCAGGGTTAAGGCAGTGTTTTCTATGATCCTATAGGCTCATCCTGACCTCATGTTGCTTCCATTCTCTCCCTTATTCTTTCCATTCCAGCTCTCAGACTTCTTTTCTGACCCTTGAACACACTGTTATCCTGCCCCAGGATGCTTGCACTTACTAATTTCCCTTCCTTGAAAGCTCTTCCCTCCAGGTAGAGCACAGCTCTTCCTCTCGGCTGCCTTTAGGTCTTCACTCAAAAGTCACCTTCTTGGTGAGGGATTTGCGAGTGACCATATCTAAAATATTACCCCACTACCCCCAGATGGATCTTACTCTTGCTTAATTTTTTTCTCCAGCCCTTTTGTAATGTACTATACATTCTGCCCACATTAATATTTTGGTTATCGTTTATCTTTCCAACTAGACCATAAGCTCTGTGAGGGCAAGGATGCTTGTTTGTTTTGTTTACCACTGTATTTTTAGCACCTTTAGTAGATCTTGATGCATAGTAAGTGCCCAATAATTACTTATTAACTAAATAATAAAAATGATGTATGCTCATTATAAGTTTTTAAAATATAGAAAAACTCCAAAAAGAAAAAAATCAAAATCTCATGATTCCCAAAAATCTGTAGTTAATGTTTGTTGAACAGATTTTCAGACAGATGTACATAAATGGCATCAGGTATGATCAATTTTTATTGGATAATATTGTTGCTGTTTTAGAAAGTCATTCATCATATCATTTTTATGGCCATGGGATTCCATTGCCTGAAATGTTATAATTTACTTAACTAATTATCTCTGCCATTTCCTGTAGGTGTTTAGGTTAGTTTCTCTCAAAAAATTATTCATATTTTCACCTTTTCATGATTATGTCCTTAGGATAGACTCCTGGAACTCTACTGGCTGAAAGTGAAATGCAAACAGAAGTGGAATAGTTTAGAAACCTTTGGAATAGAGAAATAAGATTGGAATCTTGGGGCTAATGTATGGACTCTTCCATATAAATCAGTCAGAGCCATAACATTAAGTATCAATCTTGCTGACCTTTCATGAGTCAGCGAGACTGAATAAATATTACCTTTCACATGCTGAAAACAAGAACCTAGAGATATAGTGGTGTTGGTCTTTTATTGTTATACATTTTTCTAAGTAGAAATGTGATATGCTTTTGAGTCTATGAAATTACATGCTTTGTTAATCTCTGAACAGCAAGAAAGAATATGCAGTAAACACTCAACATGGCAAAAAGGTAAAGCAATAATCATGTTTATTATCTAGAGTACTGCAAATGATACCAAATTACTGAAATGCTTCTAATTTGCCTTTCAACTATGCCTATTTTTTGACGATCTCTTAGTTTCTAGCAATGAAAGCGTGAGAAACAGGCTGTGCTAGCTCAGCAAACTGACCAGAGATTTGAAATCAAGTACATATTTGTAGCAGAGTGTAAATGGACCGATTTTCCTCGGCTGGCCCCTTCCTCCATGCATTAAAAACTCTGGTGTGTCAGAACGAATAATGACCTTTGCTGGTAATGAAGCACCTCTCTCTTCTGCAGAGTGGGAATACCCCTTGTTTCCGATGTAATTTTTATTATGGTTATCCTTGGCCATGAACTAGAGAATGCCCTAAATAGCCCTTGTCGATCATAGAAGATATAATGAGCGTGGTCTCTGAGAACCAATGTAGCAGCGCTCTCCTGCTTCCCCAAGAGGCCCCGAAAGAGACCTCGGTGTGCGGATCCATGTGTGAACCAGAGGCCCCTCTGCCCCTTGTGCAGATCCCAGAAGGGTGGGGACAGCAGACACAATCTGTCTCCCTCGCTGTTACTAGATCTAAGATGCCATGAAGGTTTCCATACCTTTCTGCAAAGTGTAGATGCCGGAGAGTTGCTTCCACGTTTCTCCTTCTTTTACAGGATTTGCATGACAATAATGAGCTCTGTGTTTGGGGGACCGTGTTGTGTTCCCCGTGGACAGTGGTGGTTTCCCCGTGGACAGCTTAAGCTCTGGACTTTGTTCGATGACTGTGATGATGCTAAAACTTGATGTATTTGTGATTTGCCTGATAGAAAGTGTTTCAAAGAAAATGAGGAGACCAGGAATCAAGTCTCAAAGAACTGCAGAGAACATGAGGAATTTCTAGCTCAACTTCGTGACTGTTTAGGTCCAGACGAGAAGAATGAAGAGATGTCAGATACAGATTTAATTCCCAAGGTGACCGCATGCATATTAAAAGACTGTGATTTAGGGTGCTTTGGACATGAGCTGTGAAAAGAAGAGTTGTGGTGGCTGAGTCTGGGGGTGGCGAGGGAGCAGGGTGTGGCCCAAAGGTAGCACAAAGGGGACAAAGCATGTCACCTCTCCGAGCCTCAGTTCCAAGATCCTTTCTAGCATTATTCGGGATTAATTATTCTCCTGAAAGGATCAATGGTTTTTGCCTAAAATATATTTAGTTTGTCGAATACAATTAATTATTTACTTTAATGGTATGTTGTAGGAAGAATTTTTGTTTTAAGACAAAAACACACATGTATAATCAAAGTCAAAAACAGTTGTGTGTCGTTTTAGAAATACTTGTTGAGTATAAGTTTAAGATTAGCTCTGAAGCACTTTTTGATATTACATTAAAGCCCCAGCATAAAAATCCTGATTTGGCGGTAAGTTGCCATCAAGATGGAAGTTAATTGTATTGACTGTGGTGAGACAATTTGTGTGGCCTGTGGTGAGTCACAGGGGCCCCTGAGGGATTGGACCCCTCACCCTATCTTCGCCCCTTTTTGTCTAACTGTTTCATTTCCTTGCTTCCTGACAGATTCCCATGCAGCCGTTCCTTTTTTTTAAAGACGAGATTTTATTTATTGATTTATTTTTAGAGAGAGGGAAAGGGAGAGAGGAAGAAAGGGAGGGAGAGAAACATTGACGAGAGAGAGAAACATGGATCAGTTGCCTCTCACATGTGCCCCAGGTGGGGCCAGAACCCACAGCCCAGGCACGTGCCCTGACTGGGAATTGAACTGGTGACCTTTTTCTTTGTGGGACGATGTGCAACCGACTGAGCCACACTGATCGGGGTGTGCAGCCATTCTAAAGGCCACCTCTCGGTTGTTTATTAATCCGCTTCCCATGAGTCTCTGGAAACTGGAAGTGTCCCACTTCACTCATGGGTGGCTGAGGCCAAGAGTCAGCCTGGTCCCCTAGAGGGTACTCCTCCCTGTTGCTAACCAGTGACCAGGCTCCTGGCTGTAAAAGTCCACCTGGAAGTGTAGTTGAGGGAATCTTTAAAGCCAAGTGGTGGGGAAAAGACAAGAGAATCAAGAAGCTCTCTTCACAGCACCCTCTCCCACAGCAGAGACAATCTCCAGGTATTAATCATGCCTGCTCATTGTCTGTCTTTCTAATGCTTTGGCAGTGGGGCCTGGCTGACCTGGGGGAGACCGCCACTCCCAGCACTAGCCAGTTCCTAGTACATGACTCACCAGGGAGCACAGGCCAACCAGCCGCCCCAGCCACTTCTAATCACACCCCTGTGCCAGGTGCCAGACAGCTCCGGACAGCCCCTGCACTCCAGGGCCTGCCGAAATCATTCAGACCTGCCCATCCTAAGCCTGCCTCTCCTGCCGCATCCAGGTTTTCCCCTTGCCAGCCCCACCCCCTCCTGTCTGCCCCTGGATCTTCCCCATGAGGCCCGGCAGGGCATGTTGTACCCTCCCCTTGGGAACTGATCTGTTGGCCTCGCCCTACCTGAATCATAATATAACCTGTAGTTTAAAACAGACACTAGGACCCTAGAACTTTAGCATCCCAGTCACCTGAGCAGGTGCCTATTTTTTTTAATCACTACCCCCCAAAAGAAGGCTTCTGCCTTCATCAGTACTCATGAGGTCTTCCCTTGAGAAGTGGGGCAAAACCACCCCTTCAATTTCGAAGCCATTCCCTCACTGTTCTAGCCTTTGTAACCACGGGTGCTCCATGGTCCCCGGAACCATGGTGGAAAAGGAGGCATTTCTTTCTTCTTTTTTTTTTTTTTTTGAAGAATTTAATTTTTTATTTTTATTTTATTATTTTTTTTATTTAGTTACTTTTCAAGTACATTTTTTTATATTTCTATCACCCCTGTGTCTTTCATACTTGTTCTAAAAAGTTTTTTGGGTGGAAGAACTTAGCTGACAGTCATTCATTTCCCAAATATTATCTGCCTGCCCTATGCCAGACACTGTTCCGGGGGCTGGGGATACAGCTGTGAATGTGACCAGACTAAGCCTGCGCCTTCCTAGAGCTTTTCATTACTGTGGGGTCAAGATACTGAGTAAATACATAGCCGACATCATCCCACATAGAAAAAGGTGCAGCGGAGGGAACCGAGTCAGGATGGAGACTAGATGGGGAAGCAGGTGAGCGGCGTGGGATGCTGCTACCTTCGGAAGACTGGCTCAGGAGTGCCCCTCTGGGGTGGGGACTTCGGAAGGATGTTGGGAGTGAGCATGCAGATATTTGGAGATGTGCTCAAGAGAGAGCCTCGAGCTGGGAGCAGGGCCCCTGTTAGCAAATTGCTGAGGCTAAAGATCTGTCCCTTTCCTGGAGAGTCCTGTCCCACTCCCTGGGGCGGCCACCTGGAGTTCAGGTCTCCCTATGGGCACCCGTGTGGCCTTGCAAAGCTGTCTCAGGGGCTGCTTCCCCGGGGCCAAGGAGCCTGTCTAGTTTTATTTACCGCCTTTATAAACCTTACAGACCTTACTGATGCTCCCAGTTAACTCAAATGCGCAATACTGAGGGCGGAAAAGCCCTGCCCGTCCCAGTGATAACCACTGTTTGAAGAGGTGGTTCAGGACTGTTCCAGGCTTCTATCAGTCCGGAGGGTTTTCTCTTTTTAAGAGTCCTGCTTTCTTTTCTACTTCTCTCCTGTCCCCAGTGGCGCCTTGCATGCTGTGGGTGCCAGTGGGCGAGGGAGGCTGTGACCTCTGTAGAACGTCACCTGCCCTGACCATTTAGCAGCCAGGGTGCTTGTCCTGTCGGGAAGGTTTCAGCGGGACTCTGATCACTGTTACCTTGTAGCCACCTTTTGATGAATTTTAGTTTGACCACGGGGGGTCTGCCCACAACAACCGAGTTCAGGGGCTCCTTTGAAAATGCGCTCTTCTCTGTGGGGGGTGGGGAGGGCAGTGCGGCCACCGTTTCATATGCTAATGTAGTCGTTGTGGTGGGTGGGCAGGGATCAGTTGCTTAGAAGAAGTGGTTGTGGAGTTGTTAATTTGCACTGGCCAGCTGTACCTGCTTTCTCGGCAGCTCAGGGAGCTGTGCAAGGAAAATGCCCTCGGGAAAGGGCGAATTGCCGCTCTCGAAGAGACCGTGAACGTCCATGAGGTGGAGGCAAAAGCCAACCGAGAAACGATCATGAGGCTGGTTTCCGAAGTAAACAGAGAGCAGGAAAACTCCGCCTCCTGCGCTGAAGAGAAGGACAAGCTGAACCAGGTACAGTGTGTGAGGTGTGCGTGTGCATCTGTGGCCGCGTTTATGAAGCAGAAATGGAAGCCGGATGCCGGTGAGCGCACCTGCTGTGCAGCCCACGGTCTCCGAGGCTGCTCTTGGTGGGGGGCGGGGGCCGCAGGAGCCTGGGGGCCGGAATAGGCCATTGGATGCATAGTTAGCAAATCAGAGAAAAAGGAAATGCGAGACGCTTAAAAGTACAGAGTTGGTGGAGAATATGTCTTATTTTAAACTATATGGATTTAAAAATTTTTTAAATTTAGTGTTTTGAACAAGATACAAAATTCTAAATGAACACAATGCTATATGGTGAAAAATATCTCAATTCCTCCGGCCACCAAGTTGTTCTCAGAGGCGACCTCCGTTAACAATTTCTTATATACCTTTCTGAAATATTCCATATATACATATGTATACACACACACACACTAACTCTTCTCACTTACTTTTACCAAGGGTAACATACTCTGCACACTATTATTTTTCTCTTTACTTTAAAAATGGTAATATACTACGTACTGTCATAAGCCAACGTGCTAACAATAATTTTATTTCCTGTGGGTGAGAAAGTAAGAATCCTAGAAGCAGAATTGCTCGGTCAGAGAATATGGGTATTGGAACTTTGAGACATGCCACCAAGGGAAATGGACTCTTAATTCTAAACTTTTATTTTTCCAGTGAGTTGCTTGAACTTTCCAAATTAGCTAGAACCTGTTTAAGCATGAGAATTAATACCATATGTCTCCTAACACTATATAATCTTCTAATTATATTTTTAAAACTTTATGACAAAGAAACCAAATCTGGGATTGATAGCAATGATCAATTTCCAAAAGCAAAAGTGACCCAGTGCAGTCCGTTGCTGAAATTTAGAGGAGATGATAAAATACTGAAGAAGATGGCATTTTACGCTAGGTAACAAGTAATGCTGGTCAACACAGGCGCCATGAGGGGCCGCAGTCCACTGGTGTCCTCCAGGTTGAGGGGGTTCTGGACTTGTGGGATGCAGTACAAGGGGCCATCTCTGTGGCATGTGCTTTGGTGCATTCCATGTCTACAGTGACCATGGCCATGCTGGGTGTGATGGGAGGTCGGAGTGTGAAGTGATCCACAGTGATAATGATTTTCATCCTCGGCCCCTCCCAATTCCTTGCATCAAAAATCCCTTCTTACCAGTAACACATTTACTTTGTGAAAAGAACAAAGGTTTTATCATTGTTACCAAGTAACTTGAGTCATTTCCAAACCCTTGTGTTGGTTGCCTTGGGTCGCCATACCGAATATCATGGACTATGTGGTTTCAGTGATGGATGTTTATTTCTCACAGTTCTGGAGGCTGGAAGTGCAAGATCAAGGTTCCTGGTGAGAGTTGCCTTCTCACTGTGTCCTCACATGGCAGAGAGTGAGAAAGGTCTCTGGTGTCTCTCCTGCAAGGGCACGGATCCGAACACGAAGACACCCCCCTCATGATGTCATCCAAACCTAGTACCTCTCAAGGGCCCCATCTCCAAACACCACCACACTGGACATTAGGACTTTGACATGTGAATTTCAGGGGGACACCGTTGAGGCCACAGCAATTCTCAATTACTTTACTCCAACATTTTCTCATGAAAAAATTTAAATATATAGAAGGAGTGAAGGAATGCAATGAACGCCCATCCACCCAGATGTAACGGTTGTTAGCATTTTGTTGTGTTTGTTTGATCGCTCTGCACACACGTGTGTGCGTATTTGGAGAGACACTGGGAAATAGGCCACAGATATTGCATGTATTGTATACGGCTGCTTCAGCGTATGTATCCTAAGAATAAGGACATTACTCTGCGTAGTAACAATACCATTGTCACATCTTGAAATTAACAATAATACCATGATATCATCTGTGGTGCTTTTCAAGCTCACAAGGTTTTTGTCCTCTTTTTTTCCCCCCAGAGGTGTAATTTAATTCCCCTGCCTTGATGTGTGGGCTGGACTAAGAGACTCACTTCTAGTGAATAGAACATGTCATAAGTGATGAGATGTCACTTTTGAGATTGGGTAATAAAAAGACTGTGGCTTCTGTCTTTGATGCACTGTCTTTTATTTTTTTAAATATTTTATTTATTTATCTTTAGAGGGGAAGGGAAGGAGAGAGGGAGAGAAATATCAATGTATGGTTGCCTCTTGTGTGTCCCCTGCTGGGAACTGGCCTGCAACCCAGGCACGTGCCCTGACTGGGGATTGAACCGAGATACTCTGGTTCACAGGCCCACACTCAATCCACTGAGCCACACCAGCCAGGGTTGCGATGTACTGTCTTGATTTCTCTTGAGTCATTGCTTTTGCCAGAAGCAAACTGCCATGTGGTGAGGACACTCCAGCTGCCTGTTGTAAGGACCACGTGGCCCATCAGCTACCATGAGAGTGAATATGAAGGTGAATTCTCCTTCGGATGAGTCTTGAGATGACTGTAGGCCTGGTCAATAGTGTCCCTGTAACCTTAGGAGAAACCTGGAGTCAGAAACACCCAGCTGAGTGAGGGCCACATCCCTGACCCACAGGAACTGTGAGATGAAAGAAATTCACTGTGCTAAGCCCCTGAGTTTGGGGTAGTTTGTTATACAGCAATAAATAGCCAATAAAGAGTCCACATTCAGATTTCATCACTGGCTGCAAGAATGTCTTCTTCTGTTTTCTTCCCCAAACTGGGATCCAATCTAAGTTCATTCATTGCATTTGTTGGTTATTTTTAGCCTTGTACAATTTTGTTTTTATTTTTAAGTAGCATTGACTTCTTGGAGAGAAGTGGTTTGTTGTTTGACTTGTGTCTCTATACCTTATACACTTAAAGTTGCAGCTAGAAGCTGGATTGGATGCAGAGTAAACCTTTTTGGTAAGAACATTTCAATGATGAAGTTGTATACTTCTTGTTGTACCACATTGGAGACAAATAATGTTGGAATGTCCCACTGTTGCTGACACCAATTGTCCCCCTCTTTAGTGTAAGGGCACATTTTTTCTTTTGCTTTTACGTAGATATCTGTGAGGTAATAATTGCAGGTTATTTTTGTTCCCCATTGACTTTTCCTAGTGATGTTCTCATCCATCGGTTGTTGCCTGGATTAACTTACATCAGGGTTGGGTGGAAAAGTGGCGATGTTTTCATTTTACTGTTCTACTTATTAGATGGCATTCTTCTATAAAGAAAGAATTTTATTTTTTCTTTCACTTTTCAGTTCTATGGATGCATAGATTTTTTATTTATTTACTGGGTTAAAACCAATTATTCTGCTTTTCGTTTCTGGTGCTCAAAAGCCATCAAATTTTGCCAGCGGGAGCCACACCAAGATGGTCCTAGAGACCCTGCGGCCTGGCTCCTTCATTCTTTCATCGCTTCCTTGCTTTCTGACAGGGGATGTCTTAGGCTCACAGTTTTCAGGCTACAGAACTGAAATTAGCCTGTTTGCTCAGGGCTTTGGTTTCTTTTATGGCGAATGGTGCTTAGAAACAGGATGGAGGCTTCAAGTGTGCTCAGTGCTTTTGGGAAGTATTATTGGTTTCAGAAGATGGAGCTAGACAGAAATAGATTTTTAGTAATAAATTTATAGTGGTATTTTAATTTATTTTTAAAAATAATTTTATTGGGGTGACACTGGTAAAAAATAAAATTATACAGGGTTTAACTGTACAATTCTATGACGAATCATCTGTATGTTATTGTGCACCCACCACCCAAAGTCATGTCTTTTTCTGTCATTATATGTTTGGCCCCTTTACACTCCTACTCCCCTCTGGTAAGGCAGAGAAGTCAGACAGAGAAAGCCAGCAAGCATTTCACTGCTATGTGGGATATAAAACTAAAAGCAACAAATATATAAGAAAAAACCAACCAACCAAACAAAAACTCATGGTATCATTTTAAAATCCTGTCCTGAGGACACTTCATTGTTTCTAGAGAGAGAGGAAGGCAGTGGGGGGCGGAGTAGAAACTGAGGGAGTGGTGGGGAGAGAGAAAGAGAGTGGATGGAGGGGGGGAGAGAGAGGAAGAGACAGCGGGAGAGGCACCAATTAGTTGCCTTCCTGTACACACCAGGGATGTGTACAGGGATGACCAGGGATGGACCCCAAAACCTGGGTGTGTGCCCTAACTGGCAATCAAACCTCTAACCATTTGGTAAACAATATGGTGCTCCAGCTAACTGAGCCACACTGGCCAGGGCCTCCTGGTATTTTTAGTAAAAACTAATATTCTAGAGTTTTCTTAATATCTCTTTATTTTGCATCTTTGGGATCCCTGCAATATTTATTCATTTGCTTTGTCTTATACATAAATAACATTTTTAATATTTTACCTTTAGTAAACCTTCTGAGTGAAGTTTAAGGGTCTCAGACTTTTTGCATTAATACTCTCAGCAATCATTACTATGGTCAGCAGTTATCAAGCACTTATCCTTAGCATAATAATTGTGCTAAGTGCTCCAAGAGGTTATGTACTTTGCTCAAGTTCATGCGGTAATTGAGTAGCAAAGCGGATTTGAACTCTGGTCGTTAAATTATTATGCTTTCGTCAGAAATCCCCTTCACTTGTATATTCACAGCTACATTCTGCCTACAAGTCTGATGCCAAAAATTATTTGTTAGTGGAACAACAGCAGAGAGTAGCTATGCACATTTTCTCAGTGAGTGAATGATTTGAATCCATTACAAATAGTTGTTATTGAATGACCAGGCTTGAAAATTAAGAATTTAATATTTATATACAAATGCATTTCTGAAGATGAGCACTAGGAAATGAAAGTGTGTTATAATAGTGCATTATAAAATAGAACTTGTTCCTTTTCTTACGTAAGTGTCTTTACTTGTAAATGACTAATGCAATGTTGTTCAGACTTTGGAAACACATTCAGTTTGGGACGAAGTTCCTGCCAACATAATAAAAATGGTACAAGAAATGTGGGCAATAAAAAAATTGTGGTCTTTAATAAAGTGCTCATTCATAGGAT